TGAAATATACTAGCCAGAAATGCGATTGCTTTACAAAAAAGAAAACCGTTTTGACATATGAGAGTTTTTACGCTCTGGAATATAATTTATGCAACCTCACATACGCGGTTTTGCATTATCTTTATACGCGGTTTTGTACTTTAAACGACGATATGTGGATACACTTGCCTATGGCCATAATATATAGACGCTTCAATGAAGTGTTTTTTTGGTTTTGTTGCGATATTTTTTATTATATATTATTTTTTATCAAATTTTATTTTTATATTTTCTTTGCAGGTCGTGGAATATAGACAGTAGAAGTCAGCGGAGATTAGATATATATATAAATTTTATCTGTTATTAATTGTATTATTATAATATCTAATATAATAATAATAGTATTATAATATTATTATTTATATTACTACTTTAATTGCTATTATTATCATTATTAATAGAATTATTATTAGATCGTACCTTTACACCATTATTTATTACGGTATGCATAAAAGAACGCTTTCTAACCTTATAAGTAAGGAAAAAGCTTATTGTAAAGCAACAGTTGCGAAGTTTCGCAAACTGAATGAACCGACTTCTGGGTTAGAAAGCGATGATATTCCGTCCACGAGTAGAGAAGCATTTTTCCGCGGAATAAATAGTGATCTAACGTCCAGCACTATGGAAGTGTTTCCTGAATTAGATACCGATGAATATAATAGCGATGATGACAGGTTTTTGTTTGAAGATGTCGAAAGTGATGATAGCACTGAAGAATCTGCAAACAAAAACCTAAGCGAGGAAATTTGTAGGGGGTTAAAAACGTGGGCAATCAAAAATAATATTTCGCAAAATAGCCTAACGGACCTCCTACAAACCTTACATAATGCTGGACTTAACGGGTTACCTTTAACTGCAAGAACCATTTTGGGTACAAGTAGAAAAATAGTTCAAATTCGACCTTTTCCTGAAGGTGAATTTTTGTATTTAGGAATATAATATAATTTTAATTTCAAAGATTTTGATTTTTTAGAAAATACGGAAAGAATTTCAATAGATGTCGGTATAGATGGTTTGAAATTATTTAAAAGCTCTAATAGGGCATTGTGGCCCATTTTGGGGCATGTAGAAGCGTTTCCTAATTCGGTCACATTTACTATTGCCTGCTTCTCAGGAATGAGTAAGCCATCCCATGTTAATAATTATCTGCTGAGTTTTGCGAAGAGATAAAAATTCTAAGTCAGAATGGTGTAAGGGTGGGATCTAAGCAGGTTTTAAAAGAATTTAGTGTAAGACTTTTTACATGTGACACGCCAGCCCGCGCCTTTATAACTGGCGTGAAGTCACACACTGGGAAAAACAGCTGCCCTAAATGTCTTCAACAAGGACAGTATTTACAAAGAAGGGTCTGTTTTTCTCAAAACGTAGGAGAATTAAGAACAGATAGTTCGTTTAAAAATAGAGTAGATATAACCTATCATTTAGACGAATTTAGACAGTGTGAAATCTTGCTAGAATCTGTAAATATTGGCATGGTTTCTCAATTTCCGTTAGAACCCATGCATTTAGTTGACTTAGGAGTAACTAAAAAACTACTCCAGTTGCTTATTAAAAGAGGGAACGTAACAAAGATGAATGAAAAAATATTGTTTCTGAATAAGTTCGTTCCCTCTGAATTTTCCAGACTCAGTCGAGATCTAAATGAAATAAGCAACTGGAAGTCGACAGAATACCGGCAACTTTTATTGTACTGGGGGTGTTTGTTTTGAAAGACTGCATACCGAATAACTTGTATTACCATTTTATTTTGTTGCATGTCGGTATTCGCCTTCTCTCTTGTGAGAAGTCTTGCCAAGTAGAATCTAATGTCGCTAATGAAATGTTAAAAGAATTTGTAAAGTTGTTTAGTAATTTTTATGGCGAACATTTAATCAGTTTCAATGTCCAAGGTCTTTTGCATTTAAGTGATTGCGTTAAACAATTTGGTCCTTTAGACAATTTTTCTGCATATAAATTTGAAAATTATATGCAATATTTAAAAAAAATTATTAATAATCCAAATAAAATATTGCAGCAACTATTTCTAAGAATAGAAGAACAAAGAGATATTACGGATTCTAGCAAAATTACACAAATAGATAAGTTTATTATAAATTGTAAAAAAGAAAAAGATAGTTTCTTCTTTAGTAAAAAAACGGGATCCCTAAAAATTGTCAACCAACAAACCCAAACAGACAGTTTTGGCGTTGTAGTTTTGACAAAGGTTGGGGACATTTTTAGGGAGCCCGTGGTGTCCTCATCTGATTTAGGTATTTTTGTAGCTCAAATTATAGATGAAGACATTCAAATTATTAAGAGAGAAGATATAGACCATAAGTATTTTGCTATTCCAGTAGGGAATAAATTTATTTTAATTCCTATGTTACATAACTTATTTTATAATTTTACTTAGGAAGAAATGGAATTTAGTTTTATAATTGATGGAGAGGAGGAGCCGGATATCAGTCAGGCAAATGGTAAGAAGAATCAGTATTCATTATATTAGTGAAACTCTCCTAATTGAAACGTTCTCATTGTAGCTAGAGTATCGCGCCGTTTCGACGTGTCCCAGCCTTTCCTCGACCGTATGGCCACCCAACCTGCCGTGGATAATGACTCAGGTGCATTAAACTAGCAACATACATATGTTGATTGTATTTTTAATTTACACATAAATTTTATGAAATTCAACAGCGCAACAACAAATTTTGGCTGCCCTTGCAAGAATGGAGACTCGGCAAGAAGAAATATTAAAAAGGCTTTCCGCCGTAGAAAACGCCCTTGCCGAGAAGGTAGGCTTTTTAAATTTAACAAATGTTTAAACTTTGTTTTACACTTTATTTTATTTTTATAAGGTGCTCTCTGCGAAAACCCACCGCAGTGTAAGCCGAATCACCGGTGACTTGGTAAGTGAAGAGCAAACTTTACTGCAAAGTTTGCTACCAATGTCATCGGAGGGAACACTGCATAAGGTGGAGGAGCACCTTCAAAACAAGGCACACGCTGACGCTATGGTAAGTTACAGTTCTGCTCAACAACGAGTATAGTTTTTTCTTTTATCAAATATATATATGTATATATTTATATGTATAAACTCTAATACATTTAAAGGTGGGCATCATCATGCAGCTAAAAACATCTAGGGGTACAGTGGAGAAAGTGCTGCAGTCGTTATTCAGCGACGAGTTGGTGTGGCTGTACAACTTCGATGGAAAGGCTGGGAAAAAGCCACTAATTAAATTAAAAACTGTGGAGCTAGTTCTCGGTAAGTGTTGTGATATATAAACAATATTACACTACTAATTTTTTAATACTAACAGCCGCATTTGCAAGTATGCACTCTGACAAAATTTTAGCAATCAAGCACTATGTAGTTTTAAGTCATAATAGATATAAGCAAAATCGAAGAAGATGCCAAAATAGTAATTAATTTTTTCTTATTTTCTCTATAGAGTGCTTCACAATTATACATCACCCACTTATTGACAAGTTGCGACCAATAATTTGTATATTTTTTAATTTTTTTATGAAAAATTAAGTTCATTCTTTAACAAACACCATATCGACAGCCAGTTCGCCCTATCTTATTTTCAATATATGTACACACATTTTTTCAGTTGAGATACGGAGTTTTTGAACCAAATTCTGAGATAGGGCGTTCAACCGAATTCTGAGAATGGCTGCTTTCGAACCGGCTGTCGATATGGTGTTTGTTAAAGAATGAACTTAATTTTTCATAAAAAAATTACAAAATATACAAATTATTGGTCGCAACTTCTCAATAAGTGGGTGATGTATAATTGTGAAGCACTCTATATAATTGATTCGTAAATGTAAATATTAAAAAAAATAGCTGTAAATATTAATATACAGTGGTCGAAATAATTTTAAAGATTTAGTCAAAGAATGAATTATATTTTTATAAGAAAATAACCTAAATTAAATACTTACATTACTTTCTTTTTATTTGCTATGTGCTTCGTTAATGTAAATACTAAAAAAAAATTTTTTCTAACATCATATTTGCTTCCTGAATGTGTTATATAATTTTGTATATTTTAAACTTCTTCGCCCTATTTCTGTCCCTTTTTAAAAATATTAATATATTTTTTAAACTTTATTTGAAATGTTTAAATTGGTGTTGGATTAACTTAATTAATAGTCTTGTAAATATGAGCATGATTTTATCTAAATAAGCTGATTTTTACTAAACTATAGTCATCTGCTTTTTGTATAAATAAAATCCATTATTTATGAATTATATTTCATTTGAGAAATAATAATTTGTTACTTTATTTTTCAGATATCAGAATCTAACTGGTTGCATCCACAATAATAATTTTACCATTTTATTTTAATTTCAGATTGCTGTGCAAAAGACGTGTTGAAGCATCAGCAGCTACGTTTATAAAAAATATATATTTTAATATATAAATTATTTATTTTTAGCTATTTAAATTTTTTTAATTTTTCGTTTAGATTGTATATATCGGAGTCATTGGATAATGAAGGTCTTCAACATGTTGGATGAAAGGGCAAGGGACAGTCTGACAAAGCATCCTTAGAAATGTCTCAATTCAGACGAGGTAGTTGCTTAATTACTAATGAACTTCAATTTTGCATACTTATAATTGTTTTATTTATTTTTTTAATATTTAGCGGAAACTTATACTCTCATCAAATTGCAATTTAATCTAACTGAGGACGAGGAAAATTACGAATGTTTGCAAGCGCCAGATGAGATAATTGTTTTAGACACTACTGCTGCATCAAGCCAGTCACAAGACATAACGCTACAAGCGCCACTATCGAATTCCGAAAATTTGGTTACACATGATGTCAATGTGTTATTCTCGAGCGGCTCCATGGATATAAGTAATTTATGCAACTGGCCGCTAGAAGCTACACATACCCCCCTATTATGAATTTCCATACGATAAACGATAAACGCTTGCAAGCGTATCGTATGAAATCAGTATTGGTATTGTCGTTTTCATACGCTCGATAGATGCACTATTGTGAATGACCGTAGTTTTTGTTTACTTTATTTTGTGAAATTGAGAGTGAGCAATAAAATAAAAATTAAAGGACATGTTTTCTACAACATCAATTGCGTTTTTTATAAATTTAAATGAAGGATATAATGAGACTCGCATAGAGGCTATCGAAAGAAGAAATTTAAGAGATGCTTCGAATCCTCTGGAAATGAATTCTATATTGTAGGTAGCTCATAAATGTACATTTAAAAGTTCAATAATTAAGAAGCGCTTTTAGTTTTCAGAGGAATTTTCGACTTTCCAAAGAAGCAGTTATTTATATCCTGAATGAAGTAGAAAACAAATTGCGTGTACGGAAAAATAAGTCATCCATACCAAATATAATAAAGGTATGCGCAACTCTAAGATTTCTAGCCCAGGGATCATACCAACAGAGTGTTGGTAATGAGGCGTTACTTGGCTTAGCCCAACCTACTGTTTCCATTGTATTGAAAGAAACATTGAGTGCTTTGCAAACCACTCTATGTAGTAAGTGGATTAGCTCCAAGTATACTGAGGAAGAAAAGAGAAGAGCAAAATCTAGCTTCTTTGCATCAAGTGGTATTCCCGGAGTAATTGGATGCATTGACGGGACCCACATTAAGATTGTGGCACCAGAAAAAAGTTTGCAGCATTTGTATTACTGTCGAAAGGGGTATTTTAGCATAAATGCAATGCTAGTAAGTAAAGAAATTTCTATACAGTAATTTAAAGTATTTTAAATTTAATGTTTTTTCCTGTTACAATTTTGCGCCCGTTTTAGACCTGTGATGATTTAATGAACACAAAATACATCAATGCCAAGCACCCCGGCGCTACACACGACTCCATGGTTTTTCAAATGTCGGGATTAAAGAGACAATTGGAGTCAATGTATAACCGTGGTGAATCTAACACCTGGTTATTAGGTACTCAACTTGTAACTCAAACATTTCATATTTAATTTATTTACTTTCTATGTTTTAAGGTGACGCTGGATATGCCTTAGCGCCTTATTTGCTAACACCTTACAGGAATCCTGAAGAAGGTTCAGTAGAAAGTTTATATAACTCGCGGCACTCTAAAGCAAGGAATATTATTGAAAGGACGATTGGGGTTTTAAAGAGTCGGTTTCGCTGTTTGCTAAGTGCTCGCGCACTTCACTACACTCCTGAAAAAGCCACTTTGATCATAAATGTTTGTGCAGCTTTACATAATATTTGCAATCATTACAATGTACCATACGACGAAGAGGATATTGCAGATGTGCAAAATGAGAATTCGGAAATTGCAATAGAAACTTCTGAAAATGACTCTACTCCTATGCGACAAGCTGCAGAAGAAATCAGAAGAAATGTACTGTCTTGTTTGCATTGATTTTTACTATATTTCTTTAGGTTTTTATCAAAAAATAATAAAGCTTCTTGCTTCAGGTACAAACTCAAATCCATTGTTTTTTAAATATAAAATAAGATCACATTCGTAGCTTAAAAGTAAATGTATCTACTTAAAGAATTCAGTCCACTATATTTTCTAAACTTACTTAAACAAACTAAAATTCACTTTTTTTTCATAAAATCACATTCGTAGTTAATAGTAAATGTATCTACTTAAAGAATTCAGTCCACTATATTTTCTAAACTTACTTAAACAAACTAAAATTCACTTTTTTTTCATAAAATCACATTTGTAGTTAATAGTAAATGTATAAAATTAAAAAATTCAGTCCACTACACTACACTTTTTAAATTTACATATTTACATACTTAAAACTAACAATTTTTGTATATATTCTGCTTGATCTCAAGAAGTTTTTTCTTGAGTTCTAACTTCGCTTTCCTATCTCTTCTCTTACTTTCCATTTCCTGCTTATAAATAGCGAATTTATCTTTTTTATATAGTAAGTTTTTTTGTATATACTTCAATATTTGAAAGGCTTTGTTTCATCTCTTTTAGTGTGGCCAAAGTCTCCTTTTGAAATTCAGCCTGCTGATCCGTCTGCCGCTCAAGGAGTGCAATTTGTTTTTC